CACCCCCCCCCCCCCCCCCCCCCAGTAAAAAGGTTGAGGGGGCGAGGGACGAAGTTGAGACATGGCATTTAGTAAAAGACAGGGCATAAATTCTGCAAACTTTTCGCAAAATTTGCAAAGTTTTGCAAAAATAATCGAATTTAGTTCTAAAAATGAAATGGATTATAATCAATTATAATGGATTATCATGGATTTTTATTTCAAAATAATCGATTATTATGGATTATCTTGGCAAAAATAATCGATTTCAGTGACAAAAATAATGGATTATAATCGATTATAATGGATTATAATGGATTATATTTGTTCAAAATAATCGATTATAAGGCCTATATATTCGATTTCGTGGTCTGAATTTTACATCCGTAATGGATTATAATCGATTATTTATGTCTCGGGAATCCATTATAATCGATTAGAATCCATGGGCGCTCGGTGCGGGCAGGTAATCGACCTCAAATCATACTCACGGGTTCAACTCCCTCACCAATCAAAGGGATCATTACGAGGCCAAACTGTGCATTTTGTGAATTTTAGGAGGATTCCGCAACAAGGACGCTCCCCTTGTTCTTCTTTTGTTCTTTCGTTTCCTTTGATCGTTCCGACAAAATTTTAACATGTTTAAGGACTTGTCTCTGGAATCTAGGAACATACAAAAACAAAATTTTGCGCCTATCATGCTCAAGGTGCTTTTGGCTTATATGCAAGTTTTGAAGGGCAGCGCGGCAAAAAAAACGCAATTTTTTGCTCGAAAAATTCAAAAAAGTTCTCAAAGAAGTTTTTTGACCCGTTTTATCAAACATTTGATTGTGGCGCTAAATTTATATGCAAGTTTTGAAGGGCAGCGCGGCAAAAAAACGCAATTTTTTTCTCGAATTTTTCCAAAAAGTGCCCAAAGAAGTTTTTTGACCCGTTTTATCAAACTTTCGATTGTGGCGCTAAATTTTTACTTTCCTTAATGCGGGCTCCATTATAGCGTGCAGTTTCAATTTATAGGCCTACAACGACACCGTTCAAAGATACATAGGAACAAACCGAGCTTGCTAAAAATCTTGATTTTTCAGTTTTTTGACAAAGGTCTGTTGCAATCTTGTTTTGAAAAAAAATTGATATTCATTATCTGGGATTGATAAAAGTTCAGGTAGGACCTTAAGAGGACCTGCCAACCCGATAATTGGTTTTAGTATAACCAAAAAACAAACCGTAAAAGAAAAAAAGAAACTCGCTTGCCTAGTTTTGCTCTAAACTAATTGAGTCTTTCGCAAAAAAATTACGAGAAAAAATTTGTGAACTGTTATTTGGGATAGCTGAAAGTTCCTCGAAACCTAATTTTTGGGTTTGGCCTCCGACCAAACAAAACTGCTATGACCGTTAATTAAACCGAATTAAACAGAAATTTGATTGGGATTAACTTTTTTCGTTCCCAAAAAAATAAAAGAAGATAACCGCCCATTTGACTTGCAATTGGGAGTATTCTACCACAAAAATGAAAACCTTAGTTTTTGGCCATTTTAACTGAAAGTGGTGTATGGCAACCAGAAAAAATGTCAAGATGTCCAAACCATCCAGCCCGAAAGAAGTCCAAGACCGAATAAAAATAGCTACACCAAAAACTTTACTAAAGCAAAAAAGTGCTGCAAATAACCTTAAATATAGGTCTGAGATATGATATCCTCAATTAACATTTATGGTTTTTGAGCTATGGGTTCTCGCAAAAAAGCGTAGAAAATTGAAGGGCAGTAAGTTCGAAGTCACTCTTACTTAAGACTTAACAAAAAATATTGTTGAACTTTTGCCCTTGATGGTCACATCAGCACAAAACATTCGAAGTTCCGGCTGGCCCTTATCACGTCAAGCAAAGTCCAAGAAATTGAAAAGCTGGTTACTGTGCAAGTAGCAAACGTTGTTTTGACCATAGTCTTTAAGAAAACTACCATTACGAGGCCAAACTGTGCACTGGATAGGCGCACAATTTTGTTTTTGTCTGTTCCTAGATTCCAGAGACAAGTTTTTAAACATGTTAAAATTTTGTCGGAACAATCGAAGAAAATGAAAGAATAAAAGAAGAACAAAGGGAGCGTTTGTTGCGGAAACCGCTTACAATGCACAAAATGCACATGGCCTCGTAATGACGAAAAAAAGGTTATGTTTTTTTTTTCAAATTAATGAAAATTTTTCTGCGTGGTGTGACAAAAAGATCTGTAGCAGAACTATATTTTCGATTTTTGCTGAAGGTAGACTATTATAAGCAAAATGGAACAAACATTTTTCAACTTTTTTTTTTCAATTTTTCTGCAAAAAACTTTCTGAATTTTTTTGAAGTGTTTAATTCCCAAAATAGAGATAAGAAAATCCGATATTAATTTTGCTTGCTCGAACCTAGGTTTTTGGGGCTTAAATTAGCCATAATCAAGCTACTGTAAGCCTGATCGCTTGCTTTATTTGATCGAATTAAGACGAAAAAATAAAAATTTCATAACGGTTTTTCTCAACTTTGAAAATATTTTTTTGAAAATTATTGAAAATCGATCAGATCAGGACTGATAGGGCTTCATTATGATATATCATTCCTTTCTGTTTGATGATTTTTGGGGTACTTTATTTTGCGCGTGGAAAACCAAAGAAAAAGAAATGAAAAATAAATAAAACACACTCGAATACGAAGTTCTTCCTCATTTTTCAAATGGTCAGAACAAAAATGGAGATTGTTTGCAAATCTTGAAGCTACTCCTTATTTGCTTAATGACAGTCATTGACGTAATTGAGAAAAAAATTGATTAACAACAGGAAACAACCCTCTATAAAGTTTTTTTGATATAACGGAAGCTTAATTACTGTAAAGTAGAAATTTTTTATTCCATTTTGCTGGGTTAACTTTGTATTTCAGCTTAGAGTTACTACAAATTTTCGTTTTTCATTTAATTCTTTTGACTTTTTTCCTATTTACCAAAGAAATGAGCAAGGTTTAGTGGGCGACTTAAGCAGTACAATGGACCCTAGAAGAAAGAATCTAAACTTCATGAAAAGATTGTTGATATTTAAAAATTAAAAAAAGAAGGTTTTGGAGTTGAATTTGGTAAAATTGATAAGAATTTTTTTGTTCCGACCATTCAGAATGGGAAGAAACTTTGTGTTTGGGAGTGTTTTAGTTTTTTCTTTTTTGTTTTTCACGCAAAATCAGGTACCACATGATCATTGGAATAGAATGAATGACAAAATAATTTATAGCCCTTTTGGTTGAAATACGCACATGAAAAAAAATGGAAACTTTTTTTTTCGGTGTCGAGAAAAATCCGTCGGAATTTTTCAATTTTTGGTCTAACTTCGAGCGAATATGGTGAGCGAGCAGACTTATTTTGTCTTTCACACAAAAAGATAAGCGTCAAATTATCATCGTAATGAGTGCAGTGGTTTATTATATTTATGCCTTTTCAGCCTTGATTTGAACAGTTCTAAAAAAATAAAAGATGGTTTCAGTGTCGAGAAAAACCGGTTCGAAGTTTTAAAGCTTTAGTCTGATTTCGAGCGAGTAAATCAAGAGAGCAGTTTCTTTATAGAATGATAGGCCATTAAATTTTACTTTAAGTTCATCGAATTTTTTTAGCGCTATCTTTGTAATAAAAAAAAAACATCACAACTTCTGCATAAAATTTAAAAAAAGGGATTTTTTTTTATTTCTTTTCTGCTATTTTTTGACTGAAACCGTTGCTTGATTTGCCTATTTTGTGTAGCTGTCGATTATGCCTAAATTCCAGCTTTCCTTCAGATCCGTTTATCACTCGAGTCGCCAAAGAAAAGCATTTTTTGGAAAAAAACAGACAGAGAAAGTGTTTTATGTATTTTTTCAGAGTATGGTCTGAACCTTCTGTGCTACGTGCAGAGCCACCGGCTATCTTTGTGTTCCTGGTAATTTTTATACCTTGATTATGAAAAAAAGAAAAAAAGAAAAATATTGAAGTTTGCACAGAGGTTTTCCCAGTCACCGAAAATTTTGAGTATACGGCACGCAGGGAAGCATCAATAAAAGCTATCAACTGACAACCATCTGTTTTCGAATTACGCCACTAATTTTTCGACATTCAAAGATGTGCCGAATGTTTTTCGGCTGCGACACTTCATAATCTAATTGGACGGTTACTGTCGCTGACAAAATCCTAATACACCGAATTTCTCCTAAGTCGTCAAAGTCTGGAAATTAGTGTAGATATAATCTGACAATTAGTCGCAAAAATCTGAACATAGATTGGGCATCTATAATAAAAAATTCAGTGCTTTATTTGATCTTAACGAGATGCGATTTATCCGATTGGAAATGCCGATTTTGAGGAAAAGGTACCACAATGAAAAAATTAAAAGTTGAACGTAGAAAGTTCCAATTCAGACTTAGAAATAGCTCTTTCTAAAGAAAAAACTCCTCGTATCCAGGGACATGTGCAGTTTAGGTGTATCGGTATCTCAATTAGTCTGAACATAGCCTCATACAAATCTCAAAACCCCATGCAAACATTTGTGCAAAAAAATCGTTTAGGCCGAAGGTTGTGGAGATTTTTTATATGCAAGACACTGCAAGATAATAAGACCCTCCTAGCATGAACATATATATAAGACTAAAAAATCGAAATCCTGAACAGGAGAGTCAAAATTGAAGGGAATGTTGCAAAGAATCAAAGAATCCGGAGTTCGAAAGCTAAATAGACAGCCTAAAACTCAAAGTTTCAAAACACGTTTTTACTGGGCGTTTCAAGTTTTTTTTTTGAAAATTTTTATTGCAGCTAAAACTGCGAAAAAAACAGATTCATCATGATAATTCACTGGTCCCTGATTTTCAGGAAAAAAATCAGTGTGATGAGTACATTAATTTAATCTACTGATAAAAAGGTTGTATTAATTTTCAATAGCGTATTACGGGAGCTGCTGAAAATTAATACAATATACAAAAAAGCGGTAGAAGCAAAGCCAGAAAAATCACACCCCACGTTGATGCTGACAATGTGTTTCAGAAGTGAACTACTGCACACAGAAGTACAACGCAGATGGCGAACTCGAGACACTGAATAATGACCCCTGTGTTGGGCGGGAGAACAAGCAATGTGTTGACCACGAAGACTTTTATGCTTGTGAATGTCTGGACCAATACATCCCATTTGATCTCCATCACCACACCGGATGTGTTTCAGGTAAAATCAGGAAAACATTTCTGAGAACTTTTTGGAATCGTGCTAAATCAAAGCGCTTTCTATTTCTGCATTCGTTTTGCATGAAAAACACATCTATCTTAGAAGTATTGCAAGGAAATCGGCTATTTTGCAGATTTGCAGATTTGCAGATTTTTCTGAGCAAAAAAATTCAAAACTTCCATCAATTTTCCTTATGTGGCCAAAATTCACATATAAAATTTTTTAAAACCATAGAATCCCTTCTCCGCTAAGAGGAATTGAGATGCATAAATTTTCCATGATAAATATTAAAAGAAATTAGCGTGCAGCCAAACGAGATGGGATGAAAAATTCAATCGCCTACTGAGTTTTGGCCGATCAGCGGCGATATTGTACTCCACAGACTTTTTACCATCGTCATGCCCAGATCTACGGCAACAATCTCAGTACGCATGACAGCCCTAATCTCCACGGGAAGACACTCTGACCCAATTTTAATCGGAGTGCTTCTGACATTATCTGACGCGTTTTTCTTCTCATGTCTTGACAGTTGGCAAAATTTTTGCAAAAATTTTTACGGGCAAGTTTGTTAGGGAGAAATCGTAGGCGCCTTCACCAAGTCTGCTTGTCTCGCATGTTTGAATGTGCCGTAAATGTGTCGTTTTGGTTCCAGTAGCCGGTCGGTATTACTGGACCAGTTTCAACCTCGTCTGGTTCGGTTAAAGGTCTTTTCTGCTTCGTCCTGAACAGTTGGTGTTTGCGCGTAGTTTCAAGTTACCAATCTAGCGATTAATTCGAATTCACGGTCGTATCAAGTAACGCAGCGTCGAGTTAGTTTTTGCGTACTCTCACCCCCAGGCCCTCCCCTGGCCAACCAAATGACAAATTCGCGCAATCTTCTCGAATTTATGATTTGGTTGCGATATCAATAAAACAAAACATAGAATAAATTTGAAAAACCTCAAGCTGTTGAAATGCTAGCGCAAAATTTATCTTTACAACATAGGCTGATTTTTCTTACAAACTGAACAAAAGCGAAATAACTTCTTTTCTAATCCGATATACGCCTGAGCAGGGGTTGATTTAGGGTGGGGGGAAGCGGCGGATGCCTCCCTACTGAGTTAGGACCGATGTGGTTAACTCATAGAGTAATTTCGGATAGGGTACACCGTCTGCTCGTCACGCTATCTTATTTTCGGCCGGATAGATTCGTGCAACTTCTTAGTCTAATACCGATCCTAATCTTACTCTTATATCTACTAGTAAAGGGTGTTTAACTAGTCTCTGCTAGGCTCAATAGATCTAGGGTATACTGGTTTGTTGCGGCTGCAGAAGTTCTCTTCTTGGAGAGACAACTAATTTCTAAGTTAAATTCAAATCTCTCTGGTGCTGAAATTACAAGTAATTTCAGCACTTACAAATAAGTGGGTTGTTAGTTAGATGGATCATGATTGGTTAATATTTAATACTTTACAGTGGTAAAATATCTAATTTATCCAATCATAAAATATAGTTTAGATCAGGTTCCACCCATCCGAATTTTACAGAGTTTTTTAGAATTATCTTTCTGCAATTCAAAGGATGGATGATGAACGTTGGTATTTGGCGAACATCATATTCTTGTCCGGTTCCCCTTGAGAGAGAAGTTCCAGGACGCTGGAGTTAGGGGCATCAATCGTTGTGTCGTCTTGTGACAACGACTGTGTTTCCCAATGAAATCAATCTGATTTCAAAATGGTTTGCTATGACGGGTTTTTCTGTATTATGTAGAGAACATGTTTTGTGTTCAACCTCGTCTGGGAATGACGTGGAGATTGTGTGTGGAAGGGATGCCTTGTAACTCGGATCTGTACGTATACTTGAACATCGAGGTGGTCATTGGTCTAGTTCAATGAAGTCCTTTTCTGCGAAGTCAAGTCATACTCTAAATAATTTGAGTTGTGATTGTGGACGGCATATCGGTTGTGGTTAGCCATTCTTGTTCGAGTGTAATGGGATCATTTTGTTTTAGGATGTTCGTCTTTGTTGCTGTGTGTTGATCTATATACTGCAAGGTATGATTTACATTTTATAAAATTTTTATTAGTTCGGTTCTTTAATCATGAATTTAGTTAGTTGTTTTCACAAAAGCATTTTGTTTTAGTTCGGTTATTTTGAAGAGTTACTCACCCTTGAGTACCTCTTATTAAAAATAGAAGTGTGGTCACAAAGCGTGGATGTAGCGCGGTGGGTAAGGCCGACTATAGAGCATGCTCAGGAAGTCCTCTCTGGTGGGTTAGGCCAGGAGTGGGAGTATGATTTCGTGCGGTTTCTTTGAGAGGTCCTGTTATGTGATAACGTTCTATGTTGGGTTTATGTTGGTCTTTCTTATGTTTCTTTGTTTGTGTCCTTTTTTCAAAAATCAAACAGTTTTTCTTATGGGTTTGTCTTTCGACTTTTTTGTGTTTTATAATTTCTTTCTTAGACTTTATAATAGTCTTCAAAAGAATAAATTATCCAGTTTTAAATTGGGTTAATCCGGTTTGGGTACCATTGGTTTTCTTTTCTTAGTCATGCTGTTATTTTATGATTTGTGGTGTTTAGTAAGCTGCGTTGGTTAGTTTGGTTTAGTATATAACTCCTTTCCAACCGGGTTAAAGGAAAGTTTGAAACTTGTTATCATGTGTTAGAGTTGTTGAGTGTGAAAACTTGAAACTTAAAATCATTATTTAAACAATTCTTCGTGGGCGAGCTGTGCGACTTTGGATAGAATTCCTGTGTGAGTGAATGAAAATATCAAAAGGTTAGTACTGCATTTTCATTTTATCATTTTATAAAATTTCTAATTTCAATTTTACTGCTAGTTTTGGGGGAAATTCAAAGTTATAAATTTTCATCATAATTAAATTTACTGCTTTATGGGGAAATAATTTATAAATTAATTTACTACATTTGGTATGAATTTTATCAGATTATCTTGTGTAAAATATTAATGAAGTTTAGAAGAATTTTAACAAGTTTATTTTGTTTTCTGTTTTTTGCAGATGATCGTGGTATGAAGACTAAAAATGTAAAAGAAACTTGAGTAAAGAATGGTTAGTACTAATTTAAATTTATTAGTTAAGAATATTTTTAAATAATACTTACCTGTTAGTTGTCTGGGAAAAAGCCGTGGGGAAAGATGTCGTGTATTATGTCCGAATTTGTTAGTAATTTTGCTAGTATGCGAATGATGTTTTTAGTTTGGAGCAATGGCCAAAGCAATTGAAGTGCTTTATTGGTTTTTAGTTCTTCGGTGCCTACTGCAAACTCATAATGTGTGTTTTGAATGAGGTTATATTTTTTGTGATTATATTTAGTATTGTGAATAAATTATAATATTGGGATTTCTATAGGTTGGATAAATTCATGTGGGATAAGGAAGGGTCTGGATTCCTCGGCATTAAAGGTCTTCGTGATGGGACAAAATATATACATTTGGGTAACTGGGTCATAGTTGCGGAGGATGCCATGGAGGTTAGTACCTTTGATGCAATATGTAAAATTAAGGAAAAATGGTGGCGTGTACTTTGAGTTGAGAAACTGAAAACGATGGTGAGATTGTCTTGATGGGGTATGCAAATCAAAATGATTTGTATGAAGCGATAGTATGCATATGTATGAGTCTGTTTAGTGCGTAACATAATGTCGTGTGAACAGTGCAAATCGCGTTCATGTGGTGCAAGGAAGTGAAAGGTTAGTGAAAACAACTGAAATTTTTCTTTAAAACTTTCGTAAGCTTGAATATCAGTTAGTGCTTCAAAAATGATGTGATCATATTTTCTATGAAAAAAATTAAGTGTGAATACATATGACGTTTTGATGAAGAATTTTTCTGTTAGTTGTGGGTTAGAGAAACGGTCGTCATCTAGAAATTGGTCTTGATTAGTTCGGATGATATTATGGTCGTAATATTCTATTGCAAATTCGTTAGCTCGGGGTGCAGTGAATGTTTTTAGTGATTTTTTATATCCTATATAAGTAAATTGTCTAGGTGTTAGTGTTGGGGTGAGTCTATATAGCATATCTTTATTCTTTTCTATATCGTTATGAGTACTAGAGAGTGGCAGGCAAAGGGGTTTAGTAAAATGGTAATACGCTGTCCAGTGAAGTGTCGGCATTAAAACATGTTCATCTACAAAACTTCGTGTGTCGTTGGTGTCGTTAGGTGTGTTTAAAGTATATTGTGGGGTTGAGGGTAAGGTGATTGCTAGAAAATCTTTCGTGTTGGTGTGGTGTGGATGATTAATATATTCGCAGGCTGTTCCTGGTTTGGTCGGGAATGGATGGTTCGGGAATTTTCTTTTAAAAGTGCGATAAGCTCGGTGAGTGATATTTGATGATTCAGTGGATGTGGATGATTGTGCTAATGATGCAGTGTAAGCTGAGGAGGGTGTAGGAGTAGGTGGGTTTGAGGATTCTATTGTGGATGAAATTTGATTTATAGTGAGGGTGTTAGGGTGTATTAGCTGTTGTTGTAGGGTGATAAAATTATCGAGTTCCTGGGAGATTTTGGGGGTATCTGGAGAATTATTAGATGATCGGTCGGAATGAAATGGAGAATAGGTTGGGGTTACTTGCGAAGCATAAGAAGGAGTGGAAACGGATGGGAGTGGATTATTTGGTGGGATCGGTTGAAAAGGGGGTTTTGAAAAAACTGCGGAGTTGGTCTGAAAATTATTGGATGGAGATGGTTCGGAGTCTGCAAATTTGTCAGGGGTTTCTATATTAGGGTTATTAAGTTGTGAATTGGAGTATAAAACTGAAATATCTGAATTAGTATCCGAATTCATGCTTGATGATATATTAATAGTTGGAAAATCGGATGGTGGGAAAGCAAAAAGTGGGATTATTGGGATTGGATTGTTGAGGTTGGTTGGATGGGAATTTGAGCGGTGTAGGGATCCAAGTTGTCGGCTCATCGTGGGCTAAAAAAAATGATTATTTTGAGACTGAAAAGCGGTGGTATGGGGTTGTTCTATAATTTGTTCATATGTAATATC